GAGGAGATTCCAAAAGCCGAGCGCGAATGTACTTATCAGATTAGTGATGAATGGAAAAAGGCATTGAATTTGGGCAAGATGCGTGAAAATGGCCAGGCTCGCACTACTGTTCCCGAAGTTGTTCAGAGGCAGTTGGACATGCTTCTTGCGCGAAGCACTATGGGTATCTCAAGCATTATGTCACGAAAGGAAGAGGTCCTGATTGAGCAAATTGCTCACACTGCTAGCTCGATGTGTGTCGAATACAACAAGGGACTGTCTCAGGCGCGGTGTCGGATAGAGTTGTCCTCTTGAACATTGTTTGCAACCAGGGCGGGCATACACATTCATTTTCCCGAATGGGGGTCTGGCGGTAGAGCCTTGTTCGTGACCCGTTGTTTCTAAGTTCGCAACCGTCCGCAACCGTTCGCGGTAGAGCGCTAAGGCGCTGCCATTGGGGGAAGCTTTTGCAAGTGACTATTCATGGATGTGTCACGAGTCAGTTTGCGCCGCTATTCCATTGTGATTTGCATGAAAAAGACGTGTCGCGCAAGCAACGTGATGCATCTCGCTGCACAGGCGCAGCGTTTGGTGAGATCTGCAGATGGCTGTGCAGTTCCATTGGGATTAGCGTTTGGAGAGTCGTGTTTTTGGGGTGTTGGCTGTGGCCGTGCCATTGGGATTTGCGTTTCCGGGTGTGGCATCGAAGCTCTGTTTTCGTGGCAAGTCTCGGCTGAAATGCCGATTTTGGTGGATGGGAGTATGCTCAGAACGGGTCGAAATCATTCCAAACGTGTGGTGTGGTGCAAATTTTGTTGAAGCTCACATGAGATGATATTGTCACTTTTCGTGGCAGGCGCAGTACTTTGTGCGGCTTTTGATGGTGGAAGTCCCCAGCACATGCTGTGGAGTTGTCCACTTACTGAGCACCAAAAGGCATCTTGATAAAGCGTAGATGTTTGTAGCTGTAATTAGATGGTATTATTGGGTATAGAGTTGTCCCTGTGCTGCAGGAGGAAGAGAATCTGACTGATTTCAAATTCCGTCTTCAGCAACAGGTGTGTCAGGAGGCGATGCCAGCCACAGCCGCTTTGCGTGCCTTGCCCAAGTCCAGAACCATGAAGAGAGCTTGTGAACAAGTTCCCTTGAGTTGGGCAAGGGCGTTCCTGCAGCGCTTTGGATGGAGCAGAACGAAGTTGAATACAAAGGGGATTTACCTCGAGATGAACCACCCGTTGATGATTCAAGCAAGGGCCAAATTCCATCAGAAACTAGCATCTGGGATTGACGCCCGCCTTGTCCTGAACATCGACCAGGTTTGGAGAGCAGGGCATGCAGGCACAAAGTATTGCTTGCGAAAGGACAGAGCAGCTGTAGGAAGAAGAGCCAACAAGGGGGGGCAAGAAAGCAGAGTGCATCAGCATGTGTCAGAAGCCCGAAAGTCCATTACCATTATGACCAGTTCCTGGGGCGACATGACGCCTGGGCCAATAGCTTTGCACCTTCCGCAAGGTTTGGTGGCCGAATCAAGTGTGCGTGAGTTCAACTGCACATATCGAGGAAGGGCACTTGCACTATACTCGGAAGGCAATTCTCACTTCATGACCGGCCAAACGTTCAATGAACTTCTTGCAGAGCTGTACCCTGATGCATTCAGAATGCAAAGAGCCCGACACAAACTGGATGGTTCGGTTCGGGGCATGATCCTAGCAGACGCGTGGCTAGGATACCACGCTACCAGCTCTGGAGAAGATCTTGCACGCCAAGCATTTACTCAGCAGCACAACGTAGAAATGCCGCAGCGCCAGCCAGGAGTCTTGAAGGAAATTATTGAGTTGTCCACTTCCTGTATAAGTTCCAACGCTGGTCTGCTCCTTTTTGTTTCCTTAAAAAGAGGTTTCTCACAACTTTCTCCAAGAACAAAAACAATCAAACACATACAGTAAATATGTGCACAACTCTATCCAAAACTCTCTCACAACTTTCTCCTTTTCAATTTATTTAATCTATTGCATATATGTGCACTATGGTGCATATATATTAAATTATATTGAATTATCTTTATACACATTATATGTGCGTGCTTTTGTGTTTGTGGACAACTCTATACTCTATATCAAATGGTCACCTGTGCGCAGGTGGCTGGAGTGCGAACGGCCAACCGGTCGATCAACTCCATCACGTCTACAGAAGACTTTTAGCCAGCAGTGATGCGAAGTGGTTGGGGTATGAACACGATTTGAGAGGCCGGAAGAACTTTGAAGACCTGACGCTACTCCCAAACGGACAAGCAAAGAAAAAAGTTAACTTTGTCGATGTGTTGCACTCCTCTGTGGACGCTTGGGAGAAAGTCCCGCTTGTGTATTTCAAGTCGGCCTGGACGGTTTGTGGCTATGTCAATGCTGAAAATGCTGAAGCATTGCAAGCTGCAGCAACTGCGGCTGCAGAGGAACTGGATCCATCGGGCTTTGGTAGGCTGCTGGGCGTGCAGCTAGATGCTCTTCCACCTACCCCTCAGACAGAGAAGTGGACGTGGTGTGTGGAACGTCCAACAGGTTGGGAAAGCATTCCAGCTGAAATCAGCATTGCCATTCAGAAGAGGGTTGCGCAGTTCACCAGAACACGGGCGGACCTACTGGAGCCTCAATGTAGAAGTTGCAGAGTATAGAGTTGTCCCCGTAGCACTGTATTTATAGTTTTGGGACAGGGGACAGGTGGACAACTCTATATTATATGTGAAATCTGTCCGTTTTTGCTTTTGCATGGGTTTGCAATCAAGCCTAGATCCCGAGTACCTCTTTAACCCACTATATACCCAAACTACTGTACAAGACAGTATGTATGCGCATGTGTGCTGGTGTGCTTGCCGGCTCCTTCCCCACTGATTGAAATGAACAACTCTTCTGAGGCTTCATTGGGTGAACCTCCTGCAGCAAAGCAATTGCAGAGTCTCAAGGAGCATTTTGAAAAGCCAATGTTCATTGTGTTCTTGCGGGGCAAGCAGAAGGTAGCGCCCGATCGATGGGTGAACAGGTACTGCAAGATTGTTGAGAAGGACTTGCACATTGCCAACAAGAAGGTCAAGGTCAATGTGCTCAAACTGCAGTTTGAAGCACCCAATGATCTTCGCGCCCCGGGCGGCGGCCAGTTCACCATTGAGGGTGACAGCTTTGGAAAAACACGTGTTTGCTGCTTGAGCCAGCTCAACAAGCCGAAGGAGGCCAGCATGATCCCCATTGTGCCTTACTCAGATGATGAATCTTTGGTCTCGGAGAACGCGAGCGACGAGGACGAGGAGCAGGAAGCAAACCAAATGCAACCTCCAGATGGTGTTGAGATGCAACATCACGAGGATCCATGCTCGGAAGGAGAGGTGTCAGAAGCAGAGGAATCAGACCTTGGTGATGAGGATGAAGGGTGGGAGAGGGGGCCGACATGTCCAGTGGCTTCCAAAGAGAAAAAATTCCATGTCTCCGATGAATACATGCTGCTACAGCAGGAGGGATTGATGGATCTATTACCCAACCTTCACAATGCTGGCCTTGGCCGTCATACTGCAGGCGCATGGTCCGCGCATTATCCGGATGAAACTGGTGGACTGAACTATGTCTCCAGGAGATAGAGTTGTGCACTTGTGAGTCTTTTTTATTGGTTTCTTTGCGCAAGATCGGGATAGAGTTATGCACTTTGGATGCTCTTGTTTCGTTTACTGTAACAAGATCTAAATAGAGTTGTGCGCTTGTCATCAGTCCGTGAGCACCCCTCGGCCCCCAACCTGTTCGGCTCGACCGGTGTTACCTCCAACAGATGATCCATCGAAACACTCCGACGTGAAGTGAGCATCTGAGATAGAGTTATCCCTTTGTGATGTTTTTGCTATTTGGATAGTGCTTAGCGCCAGCCATACTAGAATTGACTTTGCAGGAAGTTTGGAGAGATCCGCTCTCCGCTGAAGGCACTGTTGGAATGCATGGCGTGGCTTGTGAAGCAGC